TCTCAAAAAATAATATAGTAGTTGTGTAGAAACACAACTACTATAATATTTTTTAGATACGTAAGTACCTATAGAAATAGGTACTTACGTATCTATTTTCTAAAACCAATTATTTTTAAAGGGCCAACATAAACAATAAAAAAAAACAAATTTTATACGCATTGATGACGAAATGGGTATTCCATACTGTGACAGTGTCCTTACACCGTCATCCCACCTTTTCGTATCGCCTCTCCCCACTTGTATCGTATCATTTTTTTCTTTTACTTGTATTTAAATTTTAAATTTGAATTATTCCATCTTCCTTCGCTTTCTTATTTTGTTTCGTACCACTGTCACTCCTTGCTCGACCGCCACAACAATCGGAGCTGTTTCAAATTCCATCGCGTATAATCGCTGATTTTGGTTCTTTACTACGTTTATAATCGTCATTAAATAAGCTAAATCGTGTGTAATAATCTATAACAGTCTACAGCCTTCGTACCTAAGATTACGTATCTGTAATTCAGTTACTCGGCCCATTTAGGGGTAAGTGCCTTAATATCGTAAATAATGTCATAAAGTGTAGGGACTGTTTTATACTATTGTACCTGTTTTTTTTTACATTTACCTTTTTATTGTTACAGCTTTTAGTTTTACTTTACTTCTTTTAATAAATTTTGTGGACCGGAAGTTTCCCGTTTCATTGCCGTGAACCAGGTCACGACTAGTTAGGGTTACAACCCTTTCAATACTAAGAAAACGTTCATACTTTAGATAAATTAACTCCATCACTTCCGATCACTGGCCATAAGATTCATTCAGAAGTTTTGCGAACTTTCAAATTATATTTGCCGAATTCCACAATTTTTTAAGTTACGACAGTATTTGGTTTCTTGTGCGATTATCCTGTAAGTTTTCTTTTTTATTGTAAGAATAAGTGCGTATTTGACCTCCATCTCACCTGATATAAAGTGACAATGAGGTCGACGATGGAGCATACATATCTTTCAGTCTTCTACTACTTCAACTATTCTCATTACCGTTGCAAACTCGTAAAGTTCGACAATAGTGCTATATAGTTTTGCACATATACGTTGGCTCCTTATTACACAAATTGAACAAACTTGGACAATTCACTAATTGTATTTCCAAGTCAGAAATATTCCGCAAGCATCAAACTTACCTCAACTCGCAACAAGTTCTGACTATTGTGCAGAAGATATTTACAATGGTAGTGGGTAGTTGGTTGGCTCAAAAGTTTGGGTTTGACTCTATGCAACGGATAGTTGCTTTGTAGTTAATATGTTGACAACAAAATGTGTTTCACTAAATCGTACATTCAAGAGAATACACTTTGATGTATGCGTTTTAAAATTTTTGTAGTTCGAATTAAACTTGACTTCGATGAAACTCCAAATACCAGAACAACTGCCTCTGTGACCGAACGGTTACCATACTGGACTACCACGCGGAGGTCCCGGGTTCTATTCTCGGGTCGAGACAAATATTTGTATGGCCTAGATTTATTTCTCTCGTGAGTTCGGGTGCAATTTGTGATAGTCTATGGCTATTAGTGTGTGCGCGTTAAAACAGCGATTCAGACCGAAAACGTCTGCTAGTAACTTAACACTCTTGGTCTATGAATTAACGTCATGCAGTATTCGTAAAAACACTAAGTTCGTGACCTTTTTTTAGAATATCAAGTAACGGGTACGAACAAGTCATGCGTGTGGTGGTAAGCGACACGTCTACCGTTAGTAGATCAATGTGTCTACCCATAAAAGTTGCTCTCAGACCTTTTAACCGCAAAGGTGTGAGACCTACCCCCAGCATCCTTCAAGACTAAATATATAACACGGAAATTGAAATGGTGACAGTACTTACCTGGACAGTTCTTGAAGAGTTCCTCAACAAGAAACTCCAATGCCCACATCGTATTTTCCATTATGCAATACCGACAATGTTTTTAAGCGTACTGGTAAAAGCATCTATAGAAAAGGACGCAATGAATAAGTTTTGTTCTGATTTATAACCATGAACCAAGTAAGTAAGTAAGTCTTCGGGTAAACCAAAGATTCAGAGTATTGAATGGTTTCAGAACATATTGGATTATAACTGACAATAAGTTTTTTTTTCAGACACAAGATCTAACGAGCAAAGTGAGGGACTTCAACGTCTAAAAATCTTAATTAAATAAAAGCTACTTCAAAGCCATTCCTTAAGGGGTGTTCAGTAATTAGAATGAGGCAAGGCGACCGCGCTAACCAACACCGCAGTTAAAGCGCGCAGTAAAAACATTGGCAAACTTCTTGAATCTTGGTTCTTTAGTGAAGTTAATTATTTAAAGGCGCTCTGACACATTTTTGTTCATCTTGAAAGATGTACTTGAAATCACCTGTGTGTAGATAAAAGATACACAGAGCATGAAGTATTTTTCAATTATAATTCTATATTTATAATATTTTTCTAGTTTTCACACACAGCTCAAGTTGTTTAGAAATATTTACTTCATAAAGCCCTTCATTAACTACATATATTCGTGCTGTGCCATAGAAAAAGTAGGTACTATAATTAAATCACAAGTTAATTACGTCTTATAGACTCAACATAGAGTACTTCCTAGGACCTAAGCTGTTAAAACTAGGTCATTGGGGCCCTGAGGCTACACAATTCAAGGACTGCTAAGTAAATATTCTAAAACCCATATACCTTTTACATTAAGTAAGGTAAGATAAACACTCTATTATCTTTTAAAATTAATGAAAACATTGAAAATTATCGTTTTTACATCTCGTCCATTTTCTTCCTTTCATTTTATGAAACTTTTCTAATTTTATAAATGGCGCTAATTATAAGAAATCTCTGCGCTAATGTTAGCTATATTTTAGTTAACATTCAGCATCCTTTCAAAGAGCGTTAATTCGCTGTTTTCAATTTTCGAATTCGTTAACCGTGTGCGCACGCGCGCTTTGCGCAACTGCCGAGGTAACGCGCCAATCAGAGCATCCCAACCTCTGTGAACGCCGTTTGGCAATTAGATTGCCGGATAACATTGCAATCGAGAGAGGATTTCCGCGTCTTTTCATGGCTCTTGAGATTCTTTTATTGCTTACCCGACTTTTTTGGCAGTTCCTAAAGTAATTCTTGGAAATTAGATGAATAGGCTTTCTAAGTGGCACATTAGATAGTAGGGTTGCTTTCAGAGAGCTATTTATCACTAGTTTATTTGTAGGCATCTATGTACATATAGAAAACGAATTTAGAATTCACAAAAACAGAATTGAAATTTATTAAACAGGTTTCTTTACACAAGACGTAATCTAATTTATCGGACAACAAAGTTGATCGGATAACGAGATTATTTTGGATAGGCAGCAAAAGATAATGGAGCTCAATTCCGTAAGAGTTCATTCAGAAAGTCAATAGAATAACTTCCAAATAACCAATCAAACTTTACCCGTTATCCGTCCTTTACGATACAAACCAGACCATTATCGTTTTAAGCGCCAATTTGAAAACATCTTTACTAATTTCAACATTATTTGTTAATGTAGAATTGAATGTAGCGTACCGTTATTGAATTGCAGACAACTATTAAATTTATTTTAATATGATATATATATATAACTAGAACGTTGCATGTATTCTGAAATTTCACTTTAGGTGCTTTATCGTTTCTTACACCAAATATGACGTCACTATATAGATAATGAAATATAAAAATAAAATAATAAAAATTTATACGCAACACTAACATCACTTTTAATTTAAAAAAAAACATTTACTACTTAGAAAATGCAACATGAAACTAAATTATCAAAATTTTGTAGGAAACAATGACATAACTTTTAATTAAAAAATCATTTAGTACTTAAATAAAGAGCTCTTTTAAACACAGAAATAAAATAATAAAATTGTATACGAAATAATGACATCACTTAAATTAAAAAAAAAATCACTTTGATAATGAACTATTGTAAAATACAAAAAAAAAAATTAATGAAACAATGACATCACTTTGCCCATGAGTGAACAACTAGGTCAATGGACGCATCTAGTTACATTATGTACTTAATAAAGACAATTTTCCGTGTAATTATAGTTACACACTTTTATTTGCAGTTAGTGAAATAGAATAACCGATTTAAAGCTGCAAAATTAGACCCCAGTTAAGTTCGCGATAAGAAAACATGCTTCCACCTAACAAAGGCAGATATTTGTATATTTTGAAGTGGTATTTACATCAGCAATCATTATTAAAATTGAAAGTATACAATTATAATAATAACAATAATAATAATATAATAACGCACACACTCAACATAGCCCCGCACTAGGGAAACCCTGGGTCGCGGGTGCCAAGGACACACACATAGACAACCACAAATTACATCCAAACGCACGAGAGAAATAAATGTAGGTCATACAAATATTTCTCTCGGCCCGGGAATCGAACCTGGGACCTCTGCGTGGCAGTCCGGCATGATAACCGTTCGGCCACAGAGGCAGTTATAAGTAATAATTATAAGTAATTAGTAGGTAGTTAAATCTAATGAGGCCAATCTTTTGTTATAATTATTATTTCATGAGGAAGAAGCAAATATTTCGCAGTTTTTTGTATTTATAACCAGTATCATAGAAAAATGCGCTTTCACGGATTATTACAAAAAAAAACCACTATTTTAATACGCCGCAGATCGACTTCCAAGCTTATACTAAGCAAATGTTCAGTAACTTTTTCTAGGAACCACACAAAAATACATACGTACAAAGTTCTTGATGTGGCCTTAATGGATCTTCCTACTCTTTGTAAGTCTTGAAACCAGTGCAAGGATGGGTTTCTAGGTCAGTTTTAGGCGGGGAAAAGGATGTTAATACAGTAAATACACACATATGGCACAATGGAAATCGTTTAACTTAAAACCCATAAACACGGCATTTTTATCAATGAAATAATTAATATCCTATTGAATTCATAAGAGCGTGTAAAATACAATAGCAAAATGTATAATGCATACCTTTCTTTCTCGTGTGGTGATGGCGGGTACTGTAGAATTGTCTGCTGGTTCTCCATTTCCACCACGCATTGCGTCCCAAGTTCGAGTTCTGCAAGTACAAATAATATAAGTTACATTTCTTTTTTTTATTTTTAAGTAAATGGACTTGCTCTTGACTAAGCCCTGGAGCAAAGATATAAGGTGGAATAAGCCGTGCAGAAGATTCCTATTCCATTACTGGCCTGTGCGCATAATAAAACATGACGAAAAGACGCTATTTTCTCATCCAAATAATAAAATATTATTTTAGAGGTAATCTGTTGCAGGAACAAAACTCGATACGCTTGCCGGGTTTGTAGGCGTGTCAATCACATTGGTGATAATACCTATAAAATAACTAGCACACGTAAAAGACATACCAGTTAAAGGCATGTCAGCAAAAGGAATGCCAGTAATTGGCATTTCAGCAAAAAGCTTGCGTTTTCTAGATTGAGTTAGTGACCCTTTATTTACCACGGCTGGCACCCATAAAGTATCTTTGTTTATGTCATGTAAAGCTATGTTTCATTTTAATTTAGTTTTTGTTCTGTTTGTGATTTCGCTTTGTCATTATTTATTTGTGTCTTACGTGCGAATTTTATATATTATGTCTTTAATATATTTATTTTTACTTTTTTCTAGTATAGTGTCATTTGTGACAGTCAAATAAATGTATTTTCATTCTTCTTCTAAGCGTGCCAATAAAAGGAATGTAGAAGGCAATTAGCTACTGGCACTGCGTCAGCTACAGGTACGTTTGTTTATGCCCTTAAACTTAGTTACCTATCTCCTAGGTTATATAAGTACGTATGTAGTATACATATGGCAACATCAATAAGACAAAGCAATACATTACGTACCTATATTATGATCTACAATGGCTTATGCCGTAAACTGACATAATATGCAAGTCATAACATTTCCGTAGAATAATAACCATCTATTTGTCAAAGGAAAGTCAGAAAAATGCAAATTTACCATGTAATGTTGAATTCATAACCTCATGTATAACCTATATAAGATACTGACAGTAATGATCATATTAGTTACGTGACGTATGAAATAACGCGTTTTAGTGCCTATGCACACGGCGTATTTTTAACGCACAGATGACGCGCGTTGATGCGATTCAAACGAAATTCAGAAGTACCCAGTAAAGAATTGCACACGTTCGCAAATTCAGTTATGTTGTTATTATTATGTTTTTGTGTTATACATAACAATGTATTTCAATTGCATTTATTCATAGTCAATTTTTTTTATGAAATAATTGGTTTTTCCCTGTATAACAGCGATATAGACGTGCCGTAGTCGCTCGCATACAAAATGTTAATCTCTCCTCAACGGTAATACTAAGGCATCAGTCGACACAATAAGGGCGCGTTCAAATTAGCCCCTGCTAGCCGCGCTGCAGCCGCGCGGCAGTCGCGCTGCAACCGCGAGGCCGAATAGTGATGTTTTATCTTTCGACTCAGTTACACGATGGATTCTGACGAAGAAACGTTACTTTCACTTATTTTTTTAAAACTGAAGAAAAAAAATTAAAAAGAATACCAGACCGTATTAACATAATCGATAACGTATAATCGACGTCATCGATCGACAACGAGTATTATAGACGTTTTCGAGTTATTTGGAAGTGCTTATTGAGAATGTGGCATTAATTTCTAAATCCAAGATGGTGGCCAAGAATTTTCAATATATAATTCTCGTTATTGACCGACAATGTCGTAGGCACCTTTAGAATCCGTTCGTTACCTTTATTTTGTCAAAATAATCAAAATGAATACTACCATTAAATAGTTACAAAACTCGATTTACGAAAAACATTTGTAAATAGTTTTCGCCTCGTTTACGGGTTTTTATGGGATTTTTACGTTTGTTTAATACTATTCTTCACACTTGTATTCAGAACGAAAAGGTATATAGTTAGGGAGGTCAGAGTTCTTGGGGCACACACTTCACGTATAGATATCAAACATTACTCACAACCTGCTATGTTTTTTCATTTGTAGTTTTAGTTTCAAAATTATCAATAAATTTTAGACATAAATTTTCCCATGCCTTTTTTTCCAGTCGATTAGAATAACTGGCGGAACTGATATCCCATATTGCAAGGTGTTGTTCTGCATTCTCTATAAATTCTTCAACTCGATTTTCGTCCCATCGTAGTTAATTTGAATAATTAACATGTAAACCTCACTAACCGTGATGCAACCGCGCGGCGGCCGCGCGATAATAGCGCTGCTGCAGCGCGTCAAGAAATTGTATGAAAAGTGACAATCGCGCGGGCGTCACGCGGCCGCCGCGCGGCTGCAGCGTGGCTAACAGCGGCTAATTTGAACGCGCCCTAATGCTTACGCCGATTTAATTCCTGCTTTTAAAAAGAAAATAACCGACTCTATTGAAAATAAAATTGTGGATTTCCATACAACGTTCACATAATTGGTAAAACATAGAAGTTTTAGTTTTTTGAACTGTGATCAGACGTCATATTCGTCGTGTGGAAACGCACTTACTGTTTCTCTTTTGTTGTGAACAAAGTCAGTGGTCAATAATCAGCTCAAAAATTCGATCGATACTATAGATTGATTTATGAGAAAGCTTCATCAAATATGACTACATGCATTTTAAACCGACTTCAAAAAAAAAGGGGGGGGAAGTTCTCGTCTGTTTCTGTTCGTATGTTTTTTTATCTGCGTGGCCAACTAGGGAACGGAGCCAGTTTCGCGCACTTTCCGGTAACCGATTTCAATAACTTGGCAAATAGATTTAATTCCACGAACTTTCTAGGTCTAAGGACAAGTTTAGGCCATATTTAGTCCGTCACGCTGACCCAATGTGGGTTGGGGACTTCACACGTTTTCCAAGGGTTGTGAAGCGTTTCCAACATGTTCGTTTTATCACAATGTTTATTATTGCTTAATGCTTATTTTAAACACATATTTGTTTATAATAAGATCTGATTATAATGTACCTTATTCTGACAAATAAATAAATTAATTGATTGATAGATTGAAATGTTTTCCCTCATCGTTAACGACAACCACATACGAGTACTGCCATAGGGATTGGAACCGACATCTGAATTGAGAAGCAACCGTTCTCTCACTGGGCTACCACAGCTCTTAAATTATTCTACGCAAATTAAAAAGTCATGTTTGTTATGACTCAGTAAGAGTTGCGTGACTTAATTTAGGGAACTAAAGATCTTAACTCTGGCACCGTTCTACATTTATCAGGTATGCGCATTTGTTAAATAAAATTAAGGCCGTGTTCTTTGCATGCCTTGGTGGGAAAAGTACGTACGTGTGTAAAAAGTCAAACAAGGCCTTAATATTGCATTTTACAGAATGACAGTGTTTGTATTAGCCCCTCAATTGTTGGATAAACAATCAAACGCTGCACGAGAACTAAATTTTAAACATCTGAAAATTAAATTGCATCATTCATTCATTTAACGCTGTAAAATGCAATTATATATACATATGTGTAAGTAGAGTTTTAAAGTTTATCTTTTTAATAGACTTCTTAGGTTTTCGCGATTGCTATATATTGGAATTGAAACGGGTCGTTGGGTCACGGTTCCATGGTGACGGACTGACACCATGGAACCTGTAAGGAACCCGAAACGTTGATTTGTTTGTAAAAACAAATATTCGCTATTTTAGAGCCGAAAAATAGTTTGATTTTCTTATTTTTTACTAAATTTTAATTGTCACTGCTTGCTTTGATGTTATAGTATTAATTTATATTTAATTGCATTTATAAATATATATATTTAATTGAAGACGTTTACCACGTGTTGATGGAATGTGTTCAGACCATGTTCAGACTGAAGATTTAGGAGCAGTTACGCATTGCGGGCAGCACACGACAGACTGAGTGATGTCTTTGTCGAACGAAATCAAGAAACTGTACAAATGTAATTTACTGTGGTGAAATGTAAGGAATAACATACACACGTTATAATACTTTCATTTGATTTTTTTATTTTTTTTATTAATGAATGGCTTGTGAGACTAGTTTGTTGTCTCAATTCTACCAGTGTCCATTACGTGTTAGTTCATAAATATCATGGAGGGAGTGTACTTGTGTAGTAAATTTGTTCGGTAACTCAGAGGGAGTATCTGAAGACATTTTTGCAACTTGCATTTTTACTAGAAATATAAGCAAATAAATGTCCTTTCTATCTTCGTTTTTCCGCATGTCACGTTAAGTTACATTTTGTGTCTTACTTACTCGTTTATGCACATATTGTGATTATAAAATTTGGCGTGTATAATGCGATGAGCCAACAAAAAAAAAAACTTTTTCCTTAGGTCTCCAACTTCCTTTATTGCACATTATACATTACAAAGAACAGTCATGTAAATGTATAAGAACAACTAATGTGCAAGAGGTTAACTTTATCTATATTATAACTTCTTCTAGGCAACCTTAAGAAAATTCTACGACGGTACTAAATCGATATTTCGTTCTCTATTCGAGTCATACTATGCAAAAATGATAATGGCATTTTTATACATTTTACTATAACGAAGTTCCAGAATCGCATTTTCTTAATTTTATTTATTTTATATAGATATCTTTAAAACCTTACCTTAACACTGCGTCAGAAGAAGAGGTAACGGGTTGGATTCCCGATAGAATCAATTTGGAAAGGAACTTTTTTAAATTGCTTCTCGTTTGGGTGTTCTGAGCATTCCGGGTAATGCCCTCGGTTTGAATCTCATTGCCCTTATACTTATAGCAAAGGGAATTCCCTAGTTTGAATCCAGGTAATTGGTGTAGTTGTTTAGCGCATTATTTATTTAAGCCTCGAAGTTGATTGACAAGGGTTTTTCCGAAAAAATAAGTATCTGGCAAAACAACCAATAACAATCAAGTAACTTACGTATTTCATAAAGTGTACAAATAAGGGCAACGAGCAAACAGTGACGGATGAGCGGAAGAACATATCCATCTATATTTCGATGCCGAGATAATGAAATTTCAGATTATCGATAAAATGAATGTCGAATATTTGAGCTTACATAAGTACTTAATAAAATGATCGAAAAGCTGATA